ATGTAATACTTTGACCAAAAGAAATTCAACCCATATTGAAATGGATCGCAAGGGTAATTTGGTATTTTTGTCACTTTTTTGGGCACAAAGACTAATAATTGCTTGGGAAACGCAAATGACACCTAAGGTTGCACTCACCTCTTTAAATTGGGCTCCTTAACAACATTTGGGGTACAAGGGATTCCCGTGATTGGCTCCATTTCAGCTTGGTTAAAAAATTAGTTGAAGAAAAATAAAAGATCATTCCAAGAGTTAATAGTTAGAAACCACTCTGTTCTTGTTACATTAAATTAAACTTTATGAATAAATATTTTCAGTTTCTTCATTGTTTTACTTCGGACATGTTTAAATATAAGAGAGAAAAATGCGAATGTGAACAGCTTTTCACTTTATTCATTTTTTATTTTGTTTTTGGAACTCTTTAGGTTTTGATTGATTTATTGAATATCTTTTAAAGTAGTTACGGGAAATTAGCACAGCAACTGCATTACATGTCTTAAGATTTGAAACTGCTTAGTCCTTTAACAGATGCAACATGTATGCTTCCTTCAAAGAATGATGTTTTCCTAAAAAATTGTCTTCTCGATCATTCTTTATATAATTGACCCAACTATTGGCTGCCATTTTTGTAAATTTTTTTCTCAGCTTCCTCGAATGCTGGAGGATGATGCGATTGCCAGGTACTATGGACTAGAGAAGGGGAGTGTGGTGAAAGTTACTTCCAATGGTGCTATTACTGATTCACTTGTTACTTACCGCTGCATAATGTGATTCCATTTTATGCGGTGAAAACATGCTATAGGAATTATAGAAGTTTGATTCTAGTTTTAAAAATATAAAAGAAAGGAATAAGGCGCTCCTACTGATTCACTTGTTACTTATCTCTGTGTAATGTGATGGCATTTTATGTGGCAAAAAAATGCTAGGAAATTTACAAGTTTGATACCTGTATTAAAATAGAAAAGAAAGGAAGGTTCAAATGATATTTAAAACTTTTACTCGCTGAAAAAAAGAAGGTTGACAATCATACTTCAAGACTGGAAATTTTCTAAATTGTTTCAACTGCATAGTGTATGTTATGGCATATTCTGGTTTGTCACTAGTTGTTGTCAGTCTGATTGATTTTGCAGGGGATTTAGGTTTCTGGGTGATGGTCATTTCAGATTATCATCAAAATGCTCATTTAGCTTGGTATTTTTACTGGAGCTTTGTTACTTAACTTGCCAAGCAACACGGTACACTTGCTGAGTTAACTCCAATTAGTGTAATTTTGAGTTTTCTCTTAGAAGTATGCATTCTTACAAATGAACTACTGAATCAATTTGCTTTTATGAGGAGATTGCATCTTTATACTGATAGAAAAGGGGATCCCTAGGCATTCCATTTTTAGCTTATGGAATAGCTCGGCTCGGCAAAAAAAACTAACTTGACTCAAAGAGTTGAGATACTTTCAGAGGTGTTAGACTGATAAGAACCCTGATCCCCTATAGCACAGGTTTTTATTCCTTCTGCACAGCTCCCCAAAAACAACTTGCATGTGTTAAGCATATAGCTAGCGGTTCCTTCGGAGCCAGGGTCAAACTCTATTTTTGATAAATAAGTAATAATCATGCACTTGTTTTCCATACTAGGTACTCAACCTTCCATTGGAAAGGAAGAGATATTACTTGAAGTTGAACTAAGCTAGTGGTATGGAACACTACTTTCAATTTTATTGCAGTCACATATAAGAGTGACTGTAGTCAGAAGTAAAGGGTCAATAGTGCAATGTGAGTAGTATTCAAATCCAAGTTAGGAATGATGGATTGAAGGCAAGGTGAAATTATTAAGATCTTAATTAATTCATCTGTTTTTGCTCTGCCAAAAAATGAATTGATAAGTAAAAAACCAGTTTGTCAATCATATCACAACATTTGAAGAATGATTAAATATCATTTGAACAGTGTTTTGGAATTGGAACTGAATTTTCTCCCATTTCAAATCCAAGGCGCCAATTTGGTGCTCCCAAACATAGCATAAGGGTTCCTGCTTTACCATGATGAAGGATCATGCTGTGATTGTAGAGTTGAAACATTATGCTTGTATGGTTGATTGTTTGGGGATTGCGGGGCTCCTCAAAGAGGCAGAAAGGTTTATTTATTGAAGAAATGCTTGTGGAACCATCATATATATGTACGGATATATCATATATGTATGTATATATTTATGATCTTTGGGGTTGGGAGGGGGAGAGGGAGAGGGAGAAGGGGAGGCAGTAGGTGGAGAGGAGAGAGAGAATACCAGAGAGGGAAGAGGAGAGAGAGAATACCAGAGAGGGAAGAGGATAGAGACATGTAATAGGTAGACGAGAATGGAGAGTAAAGTAGTAATAAATAGTGGGCAAGAAAGAAAGATTTTTATTATAAAAAGGGCAAAGTACAATAAACCCCTTCAAATATTCGCATTTTGCAATAAATCCCTCGGCCTAATTTCTTGCCAAAAAAATTCCCTCCAACTATTAAGGGGTAACACAGTGGATTGGAGTAGATGAAAGATATTTTTGAGATAAAAATGCTCTTATCCTTATTATATAAAGAAAATTGTAATAAAAATGCTCTTATCCTTATTATTTGCCAAGGCCTCCTGTGGTGTAGTTTGGTCATTCACACAATTAAAGAACGTGTAATTGGATCCTTCACATTTTTCTATAAAATGTTTCCACTTTATTTATACAATCAATGTGTTCAGCAAATGCTATACAATCTGTTTTCAGTTGTTGCTAAGATCACTCAGATCTTGATAAGTACTTTGACACAATCTGGTTTCTTCAGTAGGTCAAATGCTTGATCTATTTCATCCAATGAAATTTCATGAGTCAAAAGCTCATCCAGATTGATCTCCTTATTAGCACATTTGTCCACAACAATGGGTAATTCAGACTTGGTTTTTATCCCTCCAAAAGCATAACCCTTCACAGTTCTACCTTGCAAGAGTGTCGAAAACAAGACCTCCATAGCCGGCTTAGGCCCTACACCCACTTGTACCAAAGTCCCTATTCCCGGTTTAACGGCTTCCAGGGCCTCCGCCACCAATGGTGGAGCTCCGGTGCATTCAAAGCAATAGTCTGCACCACTTCCTCCGGTTCCCTCCCTGATTAGTTCCGCGATAGATTTGTCATATTTATCCGGATTGATAAAATCAGTCATCCCAAAAACCTGTCCTTTTGCAGCTTTCACTTCATTTTTGTCAATGCCAATGATTCTGGATGCTCCTTGCATGCTAGCCCCTTGTATCGCGCCCAATCCAACCGTGCCAAGACCAAACACTACAACGGATGAGTCCTCTCCGGCCTTGCATTCCTTCCACGGTGCACCTAATCCAGTTGTGAAGCCACACGAGATGAAGCTAGCATGTGCCAATGGCATATTTGGATGATCAATCTTGACAACATAGTTGACATTAGCAACTGTGTACTCTGACCATGTGGAGCAGCTAAATAGGTGGTACAACCTTTGGCCTCCGAGAGACATTCTTGTAGTGTTGTCAGGCATTAGACCATGCATAGGCATAGGATATGTTGTGCACACATTGGTCTGTCCCGACTTGCAATTCTCACATTGCTTGCACTCTCCGAGAAATGTGGGGATGACGAGGTCTCCTTCTTTGAATTCTGTGACTCCCGCGCCCACGCTCTCCACGACCCCAACACCCTCATGCCCTAGAGCTCGTGGGAACACCGGGAATGGGAGCCCATTGGCGCATAGGATGTCGGAGTGACAGAGGCTGGCGTAGAGCATCTTTATCCGAACTTCTGATGCTTTTGGTGGCTCTATTTCTACCTCTTCCAACCTTACTGGCTCCCCTTTTGCCCTGCACACTGCGGCTTTGCATTTTATGACTCGTGAGCTGCTTGTCGACATTGTTCTGGATTGGTAATTCCTGTTCAAGAACTTGTCAATGGACTGATCTCGGGTTGATTGTGATGTTCCTGCAGCAGAGAAGTTTTGAGAACCGAGTGTGGATGTGCATCCGAACATACCATTCCTCCTCGAGCCAAAGCTCGTTCCCTGCATGTGTCGGAATAATCTCTTGGATACACCATAGTGGATTCGGCTCTGACTTTGCACAAACCGGGAAAGAAAGCTCGTAGGATACATGATTTGATGTTGGATGATAAACTCACAATCAGATTTATTTTTTAATTTTTTAAAATTTTAGTAATGGGATATTCATGCATGATGCACCACAATATATAAGCATGGTATGCGTATTTTGGGATTGTTATAATTATAGCCAATCTGTCAAAAAAAGGTTGAAACCTAAAAAATTACAAGCTTTTTTTAGGAAAGACAACAGGCACTGTCAAGTTAAATTAGCCAGTCTTGTAAAGAATGAACTTATCTGGATTGAAATGTTGGTTATCCCCAATTCAATGGCATCATTAGATAGGTACAAATTAAAATGATATATGTTGATTAAATATAATTAACTTGTACCATCAAAATATTAATTAGTGTGGTCTGGTATTGCCAATTTTTAATATACGGTTGCTAATTTAGGTAGTTAACTACCACAATAGATCAGGGGAAGGATTTGACTTTGTTTCCTAATTTAAACAAAGATTTTACATGTTTGACCAATGTTGGCCTGGTAAACATTACTTTTGATTTTTCTTTTTGATGTAGGAGAATAAATATATACATATATATATATATTTGTGTAAGGTAATGAATTTGTATTGATTAACAGAACTGTACATAGCTCCAAACAAACTCACAAGGCTCAGAAGCAGAAGCAGTACATTAACAATCTGGGAACCATCTGATATCGAAAGAAAAAATCCTAAAAGAGGCACTAACTGAAGCTCAACAGTGTAAGAACGGAACAACACCAAAATAACCAACTTCTCTACCATCGATAGGACTTTTGGAATCAGTTCTTCGAAGGACGATAGATTATGATATATCTGAACCCTTCTCTGTAAAATGAACATAAGATTAGGACAGAATTGAATTTTCCAAACGTTGGATTGACATAAGATCGATGTTGTCAGCCTCGTGTCCTTGAACTGCAATGTTGGTAAAACTGCAGTATCATCAGTTCTCTTGGTACACTAAAAGGATGCAGAAGGTTTCAAGCAATTTTCATAGACAAAACAATTATTTTAAGGGAAGTGATATAGTCCCTGCCTCGGCTTTTTCATTTTTTCATATTTAGTCAAGCAATTCTCTTTCACAATTTTTCATTTTTTTTTTCCCCAACAAATAAGAGAATGACAGTTCATTTTTCATTATGTTGGATTAAATTTTTTTTCTATAATGTTACATGGTAGGGAAAATGTAAGAATTTCACACTTAAGCTGGTTCATAAAAGTGATAAAATTATTTAATTTATTAAGATGTCTCACCTTTGAGGTTAAGCAATATGAATTTGAAGAAGAACTGCAAACTAATTCAATGATGTGCTGATCAAGCTACCCCAGAACATAGGCCGAAACTGAAAATTCGACATTTCCTGAGAAGTTAAAAATGAAATATAAGATAATGGTAAACGACAGTTTCAATAGTATCGTCTCCTTTCTAAAAGAATAGATAAGAAGAAGAAAAGAAAGAAACAAATACAAGAGCACATTATTACTAACTTGTAGTTGCAATTCGTAGAATGGAATGTGCAATCTTTGTCTGTTTCTAGCAAATGATTCATCCACCCAGTCTTATGTAATTGTCCCACACAAAATAAATACAGCAAATCAATTGAACCTCAAAAAAAATAAAAAAATAAAATAAAAAACAGAAGAGAGTGAAAGAGCGAAAATGAACAAGAAGAGAGAAGAATAAGATGGAGTTTTACGGTGATAAATGAATTCATAACATAAATAATGGATTTAGCTCGAATGTCAATGTATGGGTGATTTAATTCTGAGCTGTTGCAATGGAACACTATTCATCAAATGTGTTTCATCATAAAGTAACTTATTCTAAAAACTGTCTCACAGATTGCATTAGCACAAAACATGGGAACATGAATCATGCGAATGCTAACGACCTAACTAATGGAAGACCAGGTGAATGAGCACTAAAATTGTCAAACGACGGAAAATGAAGGCAATTTAAGGATTATTGTTACCATTAGCAAACTCTAGAGCTTAAGTGCACCACGTGAATAAAAGTGACAAGGAAATGTTGCTGAGCGTACTTTCAAAGATTCGAGTCACAAAACAGTATTTCGGTCTTTGACTAAACATAGTTGGGTTTGGATGCACTTCTTTAGCCTTTGCATGGGCTGAATGTTGTGAAATTAAACAGAAAACGCAGAAAAGAGATCAAGGCTAGGTCAAAGGGTTGAAGGGATTTCAAACAACAGTGAATAGTACAATGTGTATTTACTGAGAAGGTAAAAGAGAGAGAATAAGTTAACGGTAAATGACAATTTCAATAGTACCATGTGCGTTGATGGAAGTTGCACAAGCAAAAACAAATGTATATAATGAAGATCTGCATTTAGTTATTGCATCATCATGATAGTCAAGCAAAAAGACTTGGATTGCCAATTAAATGGAAAGAATATAATCTTGTAGACCTCGTTACATTATTCCTTATAGGCAAATTTGTCATAACCTAATGTATACCATGAAAACTAGGGCAAAATTTATTTTAAGGAAAGTAATTTAGTCCCAGGCGTGAGTAAATTATTCTAATAATTTTCTTTTTCTTTCACAATTTTGCACATTTTTTTTTCCAACATTTAAGAGAATGATAGTTCATTTTTCAGTTGTGTTGGATTAAATTTGTTTCTTAAATTATAATGTTACATGGTAGGAAAAAGGTAAAAATTTCACAAGCTGGTTTATAGAAGTGATAAAAATAATTTAATTTAATAAGATGTGTCCCCTTTGAGATTAAACAATTTGAATACGAAGAAGAATAAGACTTTAAACCAATGGAATGACGTGCGGATAAAGCTAACAAATGGAATTTGGCATCCCCTAAGAAGGCGAAGAGGAAAAACAAGATAATAGTATGGGAGAATGTCGACAGTATCATCTTTTTCTAAAAGTAAAGAAATAAAATCAGTTGAACTTGAAGAGAGAGAGAGAGAGAGAGAGAGAGAGAGAAATTGAACAACGAGAGAGAAGAATAGGATGGATTTACCTTATATGTATGTCACCACCGCCATATATTATTAATTGTTCCCTAAAAATATATAGAGAGAGCAACAATGAACAAAAAGATAGAAGAATAAGATGCAGTTTTATGGTAATAAAAAAACTCAGATCCGAAAGGATGTATTTACCTTGTATGTCAGCCCCAGGGTGAAACAGAAACATTTGGGATGTGAGCAATCATTGGCCAGTCTTGCTCTGATTCTTTCCGGAATCTATCATAAAACAAGTCAGAAACAAATTTTACTTTTGAGTTGTTGTAATGCAGTTAGTGATATCAATTTGGGGCAGGTGTGAATGAAAAGTCATTCAAGTGATGTGAGGTTGCCTATCTTGGTAAAATGCAGGCAGAAAAAATGGAAGATAATTTGTATAATGACCTGAATCAGGCCTTGCAACCTTGATCCTTTGCATTGATTGTGAATACCAGTAACTTCATAAGATTCTTTCCCGACTCACCTCCATTACACTTAATCTTGTCTACACTGCTAATGGGCATCCCTACAGCCTTGGTCAATTACTTTGCGGCTGCTCATGCTTGCTGGTTGTTGTAGTCATGCAATCGGCTTCTTCTACCGCTGTTTCTTCCTGTAAATTTTCAGAAACTTTATGCTAATCAATATGAAAGGAAAATAATTCTATACTAAAGAGCTATGTGAATTGTTCTTAAAGTTGGATTGCTCAATGTAGCTAAAAGATCATGGCATTTCAGATATGTTCGAAGCTAATTCTTGGAACTTAGGAGTTGAAGAAACTAAGTAGTAAATAATGAAGACCTGCATTTTTCATTGTGATTGATGTTAATCAGCGCTATTATTATGGTTGGTCAAGCAAAAAGATTTGTCATTTAAACGACAGGTATTATGATCTTGGAATTTTTCTGATCAGTATTATGTTCTGCTTTTGTTAGTGTGTAATGCCAATAGGGAGAGTCCATGGACCTAGTTTCATTATATCTTATAGGCAAAATTTTCATAACCTTAATGTATACCATGAAAACTGGAGCAGAAGTTATTTTTAGGAAAGTGATCTTGTTCCTGCGTCAAGCAAAACTGGACGTAGTTAAGAGAATGATAGTTCATTTTACAATGTGGTGGGTGGATTTTTTTCTTAAATTGTAATGTTACGTGGTAGGAAAATTGTAAAAATTTCACAAGCTAATAAGATGTCTCGCCTTTGAGATTAAGCAACACAAATATGAAGAAGAAGAAGAAGACTGTAAGACAAATCCAATTATGTGCTCATGAGGCTGCCCTAGAAGACATGCACAAACTGAACATTGGACATTTGCAGAGAAGGTAAAAGAGAAAAAATAAGTTAATGGTAAATGACAATTTCAATAGTACCATGTGCATTGATGGAAGTTGCACAAGCAAAAACAAACATATATAATGAAGATCTGCATTTAGTTGTTGCATCATCATGATTGTCAAGCAAAAAGACTTGGATTGCCTATAAAATGGAAAGAATATAATCTTGAAGAGGAAAAACAAGATAATAGTAAGGAAATAAAATCAGTTGAACTTGAAGAGAGAGAGAGAGAGAGAAATTGAACAAGAATAGAGAAGAATAGGACGGATTTACCTTGTATGTATGTCACTACCATATACAAACATCTGGAATGTGAGCAATCTTTGGCCAATCTTTCCCCGTTTCTTCCTGGCTATCAGATAAATCACGGGTGCATGATCCAATTGTGAGTTGTTGTAACCCAGTGAGCTGATGCATCCCATCGGGCAGTGATGTCAATTTGGGGCAGTTACAAATGGTCAGCCGTTGAAGTGAAGTGAGGCTTAGAAATGACTCCTCTGGGAGAGTAACTAGATCGTCAATTTCCCATAATTTCAGAGACTTTAAATTGGAAGGAGGAGGAAAAGGCAAAGAAGAAGATGAAGAAGAGGTTGCGAGTGTATCTGTTGGTGGGTTTGGGGACATCAATGTCATCTTAACTCTTCTTCTACTACCTTCTTGCTGACGTTCAAGAGATGTAGTCGTTCAAGACATGGTTGCAGAATAGGCATTGATGCCAGATTAGGGCAACTTAGGATCCATAATTTGGAAAGAGAAGGAAATGATGGGAGCTTCTTCAAATGTTGTTGTTGTTGGTCCTGTAAAGTTGTTGTTGCTTCTTCTTCTGCTTGGCTCCTCCACCATCCCTTCAATTCAGGGCAATACAAGAGTCGAAGTGTTTTGAGGGATGGGAAGAATGTTGGTGTTGGTGCTGCTCCTCCACTGGATGAAGATGAAGAGCACAGAGAATCCTCACTACCACTCCCACTACTACTCTCGTCCTCCATGTACTCCAGGGATTCCATATCCCAAAGACTCAGAAATTGGAGAGAAGGAAGTTGCCCAAATAGTGGAAGATGTTTGCCATCTGTTACACCTGAACATATCAATTGTCACAAGACACGTTAACTCCCCCAATCCACGCGGCATTCCAGTCAAGGCACGACACCTGCGAAGCTCAAGATGCCTAAGGTTAACCAATTCTTTAATCTCTTCTGGCAATTGTTTAAGCCGCTCAAACTCGGAGAGTTTTAAGGTTTGCAAATTTTTCAACTCGGTTATAGAACTTGGCAACTTCCTTTTATTATAAGTACTAAGACTAAGAAACCTCAAATGTTTCATCTTGCTTATATTACTATGCCCCCACCCCCTCGGCATATCCAACACACGTAACCTTTTAAATGTTGAATCAATATCCATTCCAAACCTGCTTGCATCCTTCATTCTCACTGTTCGTAAATTGTGAGCTCTAGACAAGTGGGTTGGAATTTCCCGTGGCAATGACAAATGTAATGACAAGTGACGAGTTCTTTTAGTAATATTTTTTGCATTCGAATTCACTACAGAACTCTTGGGCCTCACAACAGATTCTGCAATGTCGTGGACAAGATCATGCATTTTGCAATATTCTATATCACCCCATTCATCTATTTGAATATCTTGAAAAAGAGATTTCCTCAGTAAATCCATAAAATACAAATTACCTACATCCTCTAATTGTTGATTTTCATAACCTGGCCGAATGAATCCATGTGCAATCCACAATTGGATTAATTCTCTCTTATTAATCACATCATCTATAAGGAACAAAATGCAAATCATCCCTTCAGATGAGAAGGAAGATGATCGTAACTTAACTTTAGAATAGGCAAAATAATATTCTCTTCTTGAGCTATTTTCGACAAATCATTATTTTTGAAAAACAACCATTCATCGTCTGTATCTTTGGAGTACAGTAGGCTTCCTACAGCCCTAATGGCAAGAGGAACTCCCTTGCACTTTTTTAAAATTTCCTCCCCGATTTTGACTCGATGTGTATTCTTCAACCCTTCCACATTTTTGATGCTATTTGCTTAAACAAAGACCATGACTCCTCCCAGACAAGCCTTTTAAAACATGTGGTGAATGTTCCCACTGACATTTGCAACTAATTCACCACAGGTTGTTACTAATATCTTACTTACTCTCGAACCGCCCTTTAAGAGGTCTTCCAATTTTAACCACATGTCATGACTATCATTCCACACATCGTCCAACACAAGCAAATATTTTTTTCCATTATTTTTTTCTCTTAAGGGACTTTACAACTCTTCTAACTGAGAGTCTTTACTTGCTTCAGAACCTATGATTTTTTGTGCAATGAGTTTCACATCAAATGGTTCGGAAACACACACCCACATCTTAAGTTCAAAATATTTAGTGACCTCTTCATCATTAAATATTAATTTTGCTAGTGCGGCCTTTCCTAATCCCCCAATCCCAACAATTGCAACAACCAACACATTCTCCTGAACATTACTGTCTAATAGCAGTTTTACCATTTCTTTTTTATCGGCATCCCTCCCAATAACACTTTCGGCATGTACAAAAGTGTGAGTCTCCTCCCTCTTACTATTCTCTATAGGCCCTTCAGTAAGATGAAATTTTTCCTTATCTTCGGCAATTTCATCTAGTCTCTCCCTAATGGCCTTAATCTCACGAGCCATCTTACTTTTGAAAGCAAATGGGCTTGAGCATGACAAGAAATTGCGTACCTTCTCTAGCCTTTTGTTCCGAGTCGTAACTTGTTGTCGAAAAACTTCAGTGGAGAAGTCATCAAGCAAGTCATCAGCATCATAAAATGCATCATACAGCTTTTTGAGCCAGTCTTCAACCTCATGATTTGTGGCTTTCTGCTCCTCTACATCAAGAAGCACGGCTCTAATTGTGGAAACCGTTTTTCCGACTTTGTGAACTTCATTCTCTACGCCCTGCACTAGTTTGATCTCTTGGTTGACCATGGAACCCAAAATTGAAACGGCTGTTCTATCTTAATTGAACATGTTTATCTTTAGTTTATGTGGAATCAGACTTTATGTAACTTGATGCAGCATTTTGGAACATAGAACTTTTAAACTGGCAAAGATGAAATTTGGCAGAGAGTGCTAGTATAAAATTTTCAACTTAGTATGGTTTGAGTTACATAGGTTTTGAAATTTATAAAATAAAAATTAATATTCACGATTTGAGTCTTACAAAGATTTCAAGTCTTAGGTCATGAAATATATCAATAAGGCATATTATCATCTTGATTCATGTTTATGAAGTACACAAAAATCTGTATTGATTATAATCCTTGATTAGGAAATTGGGAAATGAACTAATTTATCTTCTTCTCATTTGAGAAACTGTTTACTTCGTTTTAAGTTCTGACATCATATTATGACTTGGTTTTTCCAGATTATCGACCTGTTGATCAATGTCAGGAAGCATGTTTTAGAGCCAAAGTATGAGATTCTAACCACGGAGGAGAAGCAAAAGGTGCTAGAGAAATATAAAGTGGAAGACAAATAGGTTTTTATTATTTAAAGAACGTGTTCCTAATTATAGTGGTACTGACTATTTAGAAAAGGTACTCATTTGCTTCTTCAGTGAATGCTCAAATTTTCACGATGGACATTGGTGCTTGTTTGACCTTAATATGTATTACGATGTAAAAGATTCTGATATGGTGCAGTAATTTTTTTAAATAAATTGATCTTACTCGTAAAAAGTAGGGTGAGAGCTTTTTAAAGAAAATAAATTGATCTTCATGAATAATTTTCTTCCGTCTCTATTGAAGGTGACGGATTATTCTTTTTAATAGATACTTGAGAATTAGAAACTGAAGTTAGGAACAGATCCGTGCTCTCTATAAAATTACAAGTTCAACTGCCGTTTGAACAGCATGAAGTAAATATTTTTTCTCTTTATTTTGAAATGTTCTTAAAGTTCCTAATTTATTTTGGACACTTGGTATGATTTTGATTGCCAAGACTAGAGTTGCTAGCTGATTCATAGAATCCTAATCTGGGATCATTGCGATAGTCCTTCCAGTCTCTGTAGCTTCCTTGTCAAGCGCAATCCCAAAAAGAGTAGGGAAAGGCTTTTCTCAATATATTGCATCAGCACGATATATCTAGACAGAATCTCTCCGGTTGACTCACCCAACTGTAAAATGACAGTGTTTCAACACCCCCTCCCAGCCCTTCCTGATTCCTATCCATATACACCAAATGGGAGCCATTAAGCTCCCCAGCGTACCATCTGCCTCAACCGTCCCATACTATACCACTATCATTCTCCTTCAGCAGATGTCCAGCTAAACTGCATATTCTAACCACTTCCCCAACAAGGCCTAATTGGACTATGAGGTCTTCTTAAGTTTTGCCTAGGTCCGTCACACTCACATGGCTATCTCCTAGATGCACAGTGTCCACCTACCCTTGACCTTCAGCCTAGCGGAATTTTTAGATGATTTATTCTAAAGACTAATCTGTCACCTAAAAGGGGAAAAAAAATCTATCTAGTGAATTCTAACAAGACCATCATAGGATGAGAAAGGATTCTGGCAGTCTCTGGATATCCCTTGGAAAGGCAACTTATTTTATCATGTTGCATGTTGCCATTTCAAAAGACCTGTTTCATTCATTTTTATTAGATTTGGAAGTTGAGCCACTTAAGGTCTTTTGCTCCCCTGTATTCCGAATTATAGGTCAAAGCTTTGTGTTCCATGACTGTGGAAACTAATAGGATGATTTTAATCTTTTCATATGTTAAACTTTTAAAATTGAGCCCCATGCAGTGAGATTACAGTATTACAAATGTAAAGAAACTTTTTCCACTCTTTCAGTTGAAAGGAAAAGAAGACTTTTTATAAAAAATTTCATGTTATTTAGTATTGAAAGATTTGTGTTCCTGCTTTTGGTTAATGTAATACTTTGACCAAAAGAAATTCAACCCATATTGAAATGGATCGCAGGGGTAATTTGGTATTTTCGTCATTTTTTTGGGCACGAAGACAAATAATTACTTGGGAAACGCAAATGACACCTAAGGTTGCACTCACCTCTTTAAATTGGGCTCTTTAACAACATTTGGGGTACAAGTGATTCCCGTGATTGGCTCCATTTCAGCTTGGTTAAAAAATTAGTTAAAGAAAAATAAAAGATCATTCCAAGAGTTAATAGTTAGAAACCACTCTGTTCTTGTTACATTAAATTAAACTTTATGAATAAATATTTTCAGTTTCTTCATTGTTTTACTTCGGACATGTTTAAATATAAGAGAGAAAAATGCGAATGTGAACAGCTTTTCACTTTATTCATTTTTTATTTTGCTTTTGGAACTCCTTAGGTTTTGATTGATTTACTGAATATCTTTTAAAGTAGTTACGGGAAAATAGCACAGCGACTGCATTAAATGTCTTGAGATTTGAAACTACTTAGTCCTTTAACAGATGCAACATTTATGCTTCCTTCAAAGAATGATGTTTTCCTAAAAAATTGTCTTCTCGATCATTCTTTATATAATTGACCTAACTATTGGCTGCCTTTTTTGTAAATTTTTTTCTCAGCTTCCTCGAATGCTGGAGGATGATACGATTGCCAGGTACTATGGACTAGAGAAGGGGAGTGTGGTGAAAGTTACTTCCAATGGTGCTATTACTGATTCACTTGTTACTTACCGCTGCATAATGTGATGCCATTTTATGTGGTGAAAACATGCTATAGGAATTATAGAAGTTTGATACTAGTTTTAAAAATATAAAGAAAGGAATATGGCATTTTTACTGATTCACTTGTTACTTATCTCTGTGTAATGTGACGGCATTTTATGTGGCGAAAAAATGCTAGGAAATTTACAAGTTTGAAACCTATATTAAAATGGAAAAAAAAGGAAGGTTCAAATGATATTTAAAACTTTTACTCGCTGAAAAAAAGAAGGTTGACAAACATACTTCGAGACTGGAAATTTTCTAAATTGTTTCAACTGCATAGTGTATGTTATGGCATATTATGGTTTGTCACTAGTTGTTGTCAGTCTGATTGATTTTGCAGGGGATTTAGGTTTCTGGGTGATGGTCATTTCAAATTATCATCAAAACGCTCATTTAGCTTGGTATTTTTACTGGAGCTTTGTTACTTAACTTGCCAAGTAACACAGTACACTTGCTGAGTTAACTCCAATTAGTGTAATTTTGAGTTTTCGCTTAGAAGTATGCATTCTTACAAATGAACTACTGAATCAATTTGCTTTTCTGAGGAGATTGCATGTTTATACTGGCAGAAAAGGGGATCCCTAGGCATTCCATATTTAGCTTATGGAATAGCTCGGCTCGGTAAAAAAGCTAACTTGACTCAAAGAGTTGAGATACTTTCAGAGGTGTTAGACTGATAAGAACCCTGATCCCCTATAGCACAGGTTTTTATTCTTTCAGCACAGCTCACCAAAAACAACTTGCATATGTTAAGCATATAGCTAGCGGTTCCTTCTGAGCCAGGATCAAACTCTATTTTTGATAAATAAGTAATAATCATGCACTTGTTTTCCATACTAGGTACTTAACCCTTAACCTTCCATTAGAAAGGAAGAGATATTACTTGAAGTTAAACTAAGCTATTGGTATGGAACACTACTTTCAATTTTATTGCGATCATATATAAGAGTGACTGTAGTCAGAAGTAAAGGGTCAATAGTGCAATACGAGTAGTATTCAAATCCAAGTTAGGAATGATGGATTGAAGGCAAGGTGAATTTATTAAGATCTCAATTAATTCATCTGTTTTTGCTCTGCCAAAAAATGAATTGATAAGTAAAAAACCAGTTTGTCAATCATATCACAACATTTAAAGAATAATCAAATATCATTTGAACAGTGTTTTTGTAACGACCCGAATCAATTGGATCTGGATCATTAAACGGGTCCTTACCCGACCCAAAATCATCCGAGGGTAAAACGGTCTTTTCACGTTAAATTTAATTATCAAGGTCCAAAAAGGACAAAATGGTAATTTGCCCCAATTCAATAATTTGAGACTCAAAGGGTAATATGGCCATTTACTTGCATCACATAATAATTAAAATAAGATTCGGGGTAAAATAGTCTTTTCGGTAGTCAAAACATAATTATTGCATTTATTTGGGTCATAAAATAATTACGTGTAACCTCACTTGGGTACCAAAGTGTAATTTAAGAATTTAAAATAATAATTACATACAAAACAGAAATCGATCGACGTATATGCTTCATACGTCGACTGGTTTCGGACATGAACAGTAATGATACCCGCTGCCGAGATACCGGTCGACGTGTGGGATGTACACGTCGACTGGTTTGGGAAGTGTACAGTGACAAACTCTCTGCCGGGATACCCGTCGACCGATTCACATTATACGCCGACCGGTTCACGCTATACGTCCACTGGTTCATACTACACGTCGACTGGTTCACGCTATACGTCGACTGGTTCATCCTACACGTCGATTGGTTCACGCTATACGTCGATTGGTTTTGGGTTATCCACACTCGCAATTCACACTGTCCCAAATACACCAACTTTGATAACCAATCACCCAATTACCACCATTGCACGTGTACGTATTTATAGACAATTCAAAACCCAATACGTTAACAATATTGGTAATAAATATTTTGAATGATACATAACACGTTCCAAGAAAATGCACCAAGAAGGATTTTGTGAGATTATATTTAATTGCATCCCCAAATACAAGTCCAATACATCATTTAAAGACCGAATTACAAAAGTCTCATTTTATTCAAATTTTAAAGGAATTAAATACAAGAGTAAAGCCTCTATGGCCAAAATTTACATAGCTTTGGTATAAACAAAAGTGAAGTCCTATCTACATTGATATCCATGGATGTATATTATTCACCGGCTCATCTTCAATCCCTAAAAAATAATAATAAGCAGAGGAGTGAGCACAAGGCTCAGTAGAGAATGCCTAAGTGGCATCTCCTCAAGCAAGGTAAATAATTACATGCCTTACAAGTAATGAATAGGAAAAAGATACGGGGATCATGCGAGGGATTCACATACGACACCTCAATTTTTAAATCATTCACACACCATCATATTCAATGCTATGCACAAGATGCCAATGCAACCACACATCACACTCTACCCTCATATAATCACACATTCTGTTTATACCATCGTATGTCCACGCATCATTTCCACACTCCTACACACCCACACATTTCATTCACCCCTCCACACATCCACACATCACATTCACACCCTCACCTTTCTTATACCCATCAATATCCTTATGACATGCACATGAAATATTTTGATTTCAACCATTCAAATTCTCATCATGCTTTCATTATCCAATAAGCAATTTCACAACCATAACAAGATAATCCAACACTTAAACATGCTTCTACATATATCAAGATGACTATACAAAGAGTAATAAAGATAATCCACCATATAGCAACTTCATAGCATGTTAATTAAAATTAATACACAAGATAAACAATTAATTTCCATCAAACACATTAATTAGACAAAGTTTATGCATCAACCAAAACCCTAAAATCTTCATTATTCAATTAACATCAAATTTGCATGTCAAATGAGGGAAAGACATTTAATTAACTACCAATTCCAAGGAAATCGACAATTAGACAAACTCTACCTCAATTAGAAGAAATGCCCCAATTTTCGAAATCCTCTAAGCCCTTGCACCTTTGGTCTCTAATGAAAGCTCATGCCAAGCTCTCCAACATCCCTTCTTCCTTTCCCTCAAAATCTTACCTTAAACTCTCCAAATCAAGGTTTTTCCTTAGAAGACATAATTGTGTGCTTATGTATAGATATAGAGAGAGTTAGAGAAAGTGATAGAGAGAGAGGAATAGTGCCCGAAAATTAGAAGGGAAAAGGGTGAAAAGTGGTCTTGCATCTTCTATGGCCAAGATTATGCCAAGTGTCACCATTTGTGTAATTTCTAAATCAAGCTAAGTTACTATAATGTCCCTCTTCCTTTAATGAAATGGCATTCTTACCCCACAAATATCTACCTCTAATATATAGATATAGATATGTACATATATATGAGAAATGTCCATTATACCCCTTTCTTAAAATGACAAAACCGGGAGAAGTTCCCAAGTCCGAAAATCGTGCCGACCTCCAAAAATTATAAAAATGACACCGTCGCTTTTAATTGACTTATAATGATTAAAAAAAAATACACTTCTAAAACCCTCGACTCAACAATTGACCAAAACCCCCATCGGGGCCCGCGTGGCACGCAAAACGAGACAAGGATTAAAATAATTTAGAAAATCAAATAAATTCTAGAAATTAGAAAAACAAAAAAAAATCGGTAACGTCACAATCTCCCCAACTTCAAAAGATTTCGTCCCCGAAATCAATCCTCTTCACAAGAGAAAGACAAGAGGATACAAAAGCGGAGTACGTCTCCGAGTACCCCACACAACACGTTATACCTTAAAATCCCAAGCTAAAGAATCCGACGTTCTATGTCACTCGCAACCCTATACTTGTGACCCCACATAATCTCGACCGAACAATGACCACAGTCACATGCGACCTTTCCATCACAACAACCAACTGAACGAAAAAGGCATCACAGTGCCGAACAAAACTCTTTACCACCACCTGCATACACACGAGGAACTAGCCCCCAACTAACTCCATGACCCCACCGAGTCCCATCCACTGAGAACCATCTGACCTGTCAAAAGTACCATCAGGTACCTGGGAAAACAACCCATCAGCATAGCTCAAGGATCAAGGAATCCTACAACTGAAACTCCTTAGACACGTAGTCCCATACCAAGTGCACCACCATCCATAACAAATGACCTGAATATGTACAAAGAATACCATCAACCTAAATGAGACTTATTCTAAAACGAGATCGTACTACCACACGTACGCAATGCACAACACCGTACTCCAACTGTCACTAAGCATACTAAAATCAATGATCTTTGACCTTTGACCCAACATTATGTTAAGGAAAGATTGACATCAGAGAAATGGTTGGCCAGGCCATTCCCATCGTCCATCCGACCTCAACACTAATGTCGTTCTTGTCATCAGGTTCAATCATCAAGTACACCCACACACCAATCTCTATGTCCACTCTAAACACACGGTCTAACTATCCTCAATACACAAGTCACATCACAACTACTAGATACTATCACTGACTCTAAGACCCTAAGAAAACGTACACACCAGTAAACAAGTCGCGTCTCATGCCGTATTGATCACAACCTCTCGAAACGAATCCCACAAAACTAAAGACTTCACCTCTTACCGTGGAGCTAAGTTGAACGATTAAGATCAAACCTTCACTCGAAATCCCTAATAAAAGAGGGAACTCTACAAAGTCCTTCCATTCGCTAGAATGCACAACCCCTATATGGATACACAAAACTCACAAATAAGAAAGTCCTTGCCAGTACCAACACAAGAAGAAAGAAGATCAAGTTCCATTACCGCAACAGAGCAGAACACATATCTATCGATACCTTACATAAGTTATGCCAAGAAGGAGGATCTAAACAGAGACGAAACAACGCGATCCGTAACTTGTATACTTAACATCCATGTGTAAACGAGGGCAGTGCCCCTTCCCAAACACTTGGGCTAGACAACGATTCCTAAGACATCGCGTCCCACCCTGTCCAAAGCAGAACCTTAACAAGTGAAATTCCAAACATTCCATTCATAGTTACAACTAGGCAATGCTAACCACTATATCAATAACCTTTAAAGTAGCTAAAACCTTTCTGTCATTAATCCATCATCGAAACCATTACATAAGAGCTCAAAATACACATCATTATCTGATAAAACTGTCTGGAATACTTATATAGTCTTACAAATACATCATTGCTTTAATACATAATGGGTACAACTGACACATCATCACAACTTAAAACTCATACAAAACTCCTTGATCTATATCCTGCCCCAAAGGCCCACACTAAGCATCATCAACATCATCCGGTCCGGAACCACACTACGGGATATGTCCACCATCCTGGCACAGATGAACCGACACTGCATAAAGTGCATGGGCACCTGTCCAAACTCACGGGTAGCCCCCGTTACCAGAACAACTATGTGCAGGTACCTCCTGTCACACCCAAACTCGCAAGTATCCCCCGCTACCAGAACAACTGTGTGCAAGTACCTCCTGTCACACCCAAACTCGCAGGTATCCCCCGCTACACAATCACAGGTAACCCCCGTTACAGAACTCGCAAGTATCCCCCGCTACACAGTTACAGGTAACCCCCGTTACTGTACCGGACTCACAGGTATCCCCTGTTACAACATGACACGATACACTGACAACAACATGACAAAACGCACATATAATGATATGACATGACTACCCAATAACTATGCAACACGACTGACAAACTACTGTGTAACTCGACATGACTCACAGACAATAGTGCAACACAACTCATACACGACAATGCATCACAACTCATAGGTGACTATGTGACACGACATGACTCACAGACAACCATGCAACAGAACATGACTCACAGGTAGCCCCCATTACAACACGACACGACTCACAGGTATCCCCCGTTACAACACATGTCGGCTCACAGGTGTTCCCCGTTACAACCGACACGACTCACAGGTATCCCCCGTTACCACAGTCACAGGTAACCCCCGTTACAAAACTCACAGGTAACCCCCGTTACATCTAGCACAACTGTGCACAGGCAACTACCTAATCTCACAGGTATCCCCCGTTACACAAAAATCAATCACAATAATATCTCATCTCCTCTGTGGACAATCCCTCTTCATGTGGCCCGACTGACCACATCGAAAGCAAACTCCGGAACTAGGTCTATCAAGAGGACACTCCGCCTTGCGGTGTCCTGGCTGCTTACAGTGATAACACACTAAGCTTGTCCTAGAAAGCTCTGAAGAAACACCAACAATAGGAGTAGCACTTGCCGTCCGCTGCTCCTGAGTAAACAATGAAACATCCTTGTGCCTCTTCCTATCCCGACTTCTGGAAGAAGTACCCAAACTCGTACCTCATTCCTGAGAACCCACAGTACCACTCTTCTCTCGCCAATCCTTGGCTTCTGCTTCTACCATTAATGCTCTCATGACCGCTTCAGAATAATTCTTTAACCCCAAAAGTGTCAACCCCGGCCTAATAGAACGGTTTAGGCCGTACACAAAATGCCATGTCTTCTCCTCCTCGTTCCCTAACACTTCCGTAGCGAAACGTGAGAGAGAAGTGAACTTATTCTTATACTCTGTTACTGACATATCACCTTGCTTGAGACTATCGAACCGCGTCCTCAATTCTCGTCTCTTTGTTTGTGGAAAATACTTTTCAAAGAAAAGACTCTTGAACGTATCCCAACTCATACTGTCAATATCATGCGCGTTAGTCATGGTCTTCCACCATACTACCGCGTTACTAACAAACTTGTATGTAGCTAAGGTGATCTTCAACCAATCACCAGGCACTGTTATTGCCCTGAAATGCTTTTCAACTTCATCTAACCAATCGTCTGCTACCAATGGATCTGGACCTCCTTCAAATGTTAATTTCATGAGCTTGTTAAATTGAAGCAGATATTCAAGATTCCGCTCCATCTCCGTCTCCTGCGGCTGAATAGCCGGTTACAGTACCACTTGAGGAACTGTGGTACTTACAATTTTCTGAAAGGCTGAAGCTACAGCCCTTGCCACCAGAACTTTGTCCTCCAGTACTTGTGCATTATCACACACCTCTCTTCCTCGGTCCTGTCCCATCGAAACCCTTTCTGGTTGGGATGGCCCTTCACTTGTTCGCTGTCTAACTTCATTCGGGTCCATCACTTCACGTGATCTTTAAACACGGTTCTACAATGACAACCAAACGAACAACAAGAATACATGAAGTAGCTCAATTCACGAGCTACGGTGCTCACACTATTCGTTCGATAAGAACTAAACGTTTAGAAACATAGAAGTGATCAAGCCCCTCACTTACGTGGATCAAAACTTTCCCAACTCAATATACAACACTGTCCCGAAACCTCAAACTCATTAACAACGAAACAAACTAGTCACGCGAACATCCACTCCCTAGTGGATGAAAGACCACAACACGAATCTAGACGTACAACTACTTCTCAAAACAGGATCATATCAATCGTGCTCAATTACGTGCAATAAGAACTCATATACATGCTTTGAATTATAATTGCACTTAACAATTAAGCACATAGTCAACTAAGTATTCATTCATCAACAATAACAATTAACAATTAAAAATGTAGCAAATCAAGCATGCTTTAGACAAATTTAATCATATAAGTAGCTGCACATATACATTTAACATTAATAGTTGATCATGTTTTTTCCATTCAACAATTAATAAACTTAATGAGCAATGAATACGGAGACATATACTAAACATAGTAACATGTAAGCACATAAGCGCATAGCAATAAGTCATGTTTTTAAACCAAAAATTAATCATCACATAAGCATGCAATGTCGCCAAACCCAATTCTAACTCTTCTAGGTCAACCCTACCCGTCGTCCTTAGGTTTTCGAACTTAAAGCACTGATACCATTCTGTAACGACCCGAATCCACTAGATCTGGATCATTAAACGGGTCCTTACCCGACCCAAAATCATCCGAGGGTAAAACGGCCTTTTCACGTTAAATTTAATTATCAAGGTCCAAAAAGGACAAAATGGTAATTTGCCCCAATTCAATAATTTGAGACTCAAAGGGTAATATGGCCATTTACTTGCATCACATAATAATTAAAATAAGATCCGGGGTAAAATAGTCTTTTCGGTAGTCAAAACATAATTATTGCATTTATTTGGGTCATAAAATAATTACGTGTAACCTCACTTGGGTACCAAAGTGTAATTTAAGAATTTAAAATAGTAATTACATACAAAACAGAAATCGGTCGACGTATATGCTTCATACGTCGACTGGTTTCGGACATGAACAGTAATGATACCCACTGCCGAGATACCGGTCGACGTGTGGGATGTACACGTCGACTGGTTTGGGAAGTGTACAGTGACAAACTCTCTGCCAGGATACGGGTCGACTGATTCACATTATACGTTGACCGGTTCACACTATACGTCGACTGGTTCATACTACACGTCGACTGGTTCACACTATACGTCGACTGGTTCATCCTACACGTCGACGGGTTCACGCTATACGTCGACCGGTTTTGGGTTATCCACACTCGCAATTCCCACTGTCCCAAATACACCAACTTTGATAACCAATCACCCAATTACCACCATTGCACGTGTACGTATTTATATACAATTCAAACCCAATACGATAACAATATTGGTAATAAATATTTTGAATGATACATAACACGTTCCAAGAAAATGCACCAAGAAGGATTTTGTGAGATTATATTTAATTGCATCCCCGAATACAAGTCCAATACATCATTTAAAGACCGAATTACAAAATTCTCATTTTATTCAAATTTTAAAGGAATTAAATACAAGAGTAAGGCCTCTATGGCCAAAATTTACATAGCTTTGGTATAAACAAAAGTGAAGTCCTATCTACATTGATATCCATGGATGTATATTATTCACCGGCTCATCTTCAATCCCTGAAAAATGATAATAAGTAGAGGAGTGAGCACAAGGCTCAGTAGAGAATACCTAAGTGGCATCTCCTCAAGCAAGGTAAATAATTACATGCCTTACAAGCAATGAATAGGAAAAAGAGACGGGGATCATGCGAGGGATTCACATACGACACCTCAATTTTTAAATAATTCACACACCATCATATTCAATGCTATGCACAAGATGCCAATGCAACCACACATCACACTCTACCTTCACATAATCACACATTCCGTCTATACCATCGTATGTCCACGCATCACTTCCACACTCCTACACACCCACACATTTCATTCACCCCTCCACACATCCACACATCACATTCACACCCTCACCTCTCTTATACCCATCAATATCCTCATGACATGCACATGAAATATTTTGATTTCAACCATTCAAATTCTCATCATGCTTTCATTATCCAATAAGCAATTTCACAACCATAACAAGATAATCCATCACTTAAACATGCTTCTACATACATCAAGATGACTATACAAAGAGTACTAGAGATAATCCACCATATAGCAACTTCATAGCATGTTAATTGAAATTAATACACAAGATAAATAATTAATTTCTATCAAACACATTAATTAGACAAAGTTTATGCATCAACCAAAACCCTAAAATCTTCATTATTCAATTAACATCAAATTGGCATGTCAAATGAGGGAAAGACATTTAATTAACTACAAATTCCAAGGAAATCGACAATTAGACAAACTCTACCTCAATTAGAAGAAATGCCCCAATTTTCGAAATCCTCTAAGCCCTTGCACCTTTGGTCTCTAATGAAAGCTCATACCAAGCTCTCCAACATCCCTTCTTCTTTTCCCTCAAAATCTTACCTTAAACTTTCCTAATCAAGGTTTTTCCTGAGAAGACATAATTGTGTGCTTATGTATAGATATAGAGAGAGTTAGAGAAAGTGATAGAGAGAGGAATAGTGCCCGAAAATTAGAAGGGAAAAGGGTGAAAAATGGTCTTGCATCTTCCATGGCCAAGATTGTGCCAAATGTCACCATTTGTGTAATTTCTAAATCAAGCTAAGTTACTATAATGTCCCTCTTCCTTTAATAAAATGTCATTCTTACCCCACAAATATCTACCTCTAATATATAGATATAGATATATACATATATATGAGAAATGTCCATTATACCCCTTTCTTAAAATGACAAAACCGGGAGAAGTTCCCGAGTTCGAAAATCGTGCCAACCTCCAAAAATTCTAAAAATGACACTGTCGCTTTTAATTAACTTATAATGATTAAAAAAAAATACACTTCTAAAACCCTCGACTCAACAATTGACCAAAACGCCCCTCGGGGCCCGCGTGGCACATAAAACAAGACAAGGATTAAAATAATTTAGAAAATCAAATGAATTCCAGAAATTAGAAAAACGAAAAAAATCGGTAACGTCACACTTTTGGAATTGGAACTGAATTTTCTCTCATTTCGAATCCAAGGCGCCAATTTGGTGCTCCCAAACATTGCATAAGGGTTCCTGCTTTACCATGATGAAGGATCATACTGTGATTGCAGAGTTGAAACATTATGCTAGTATGGTTGATTGTTTGGGGATTGTGGGGCTCCTCAAAGAGGTAGAAAGGTTTATTTATTGAAGAAATGCTTGTGGAACCATCATATATATGTACGGATATATCATATATGTATGTATATATTTATGATCTTTGGGGTTGGGAGGGGGAGGGGGGGAGGCAGTAGGTGGAGAGGATAGAGAGAATACCAGATAGGGAAGAAGAGAGAGACATGTAATAGGTAGATGAGAATGGAGAGTAAACTAGTAATAAATAGTGGGCAAGAAAGAAAGATTTTTTATTATAAAAAGGGCAAAGTACAATAAACCCCTTCAAATATTCGCATTTTGCAATAAATCCCTCGGCATAATTTCTTGCCAAAAAAATTCCCTCCAACTATTAATGGGTAACACAGTGGATTGGAGTGGATGAAAGATATTTTTGAGATAAAAATGCTCTTATCCTTATTATATAAAGAAAATTGTAATAAAAATGCTCTTATCCTTATTATTTGCCAAGGCCTCCTGTGGTGTAGTTTGGTCATTCACACAATTAAAGAACGTGTAATTGGATCCTTCACATTTTCTATAAAATGTTTCCACTTTATTTATACAATCAATGTGTTCAGCAAATGCTATACAATCTGTTTTCAGTTGTTGCTAAGATCACTCAGATCTTGATAAGTACTTTGACACAATCTGGTTTCTTCAGCAGGTCAAATGCTTGATCTATTTCATCCAATGAAATTTCATGAGTCAAAAGCTCATCCAGATTGATCTCCTTATTAGCACATTTGTCCACAACAATGGGTAATTCAGACTTGGTTTTTATCCCTCCAAAAGCATAACCCTTCACAGTTCTACCCTGCAAGAGTGTCGAAAACAAGACCTCCATAGCCGGCTTAGGCCCTACGCCCACTTGTACCAAAGTCCCTCTTCCCGGTTTAACGGCTTCCAGGGCCTCCGCCACCAATGGTGGAGCTCCGGTGCATTCAAAGCAATAGTCTGCACCACTTCCTCCGGTTCCCTCCCTGATTAGTTCCGCGATAGATTTGTCATATTTATCCGGATTGATAAAATCAGTCATCCCAAAAACCTGTCCTTTTGCAGCTTTCACTTCATTTTTGTCAACGCCAATGATTCTGGATGCTCCTTGCATGCTAGCCCCTTGTATCGCGCCCAATCTAACCGTGCCAAGACCAAACACTACAACGGATGAGTCCTCTCCGGCCTTGCATTCCTTCCACGGTGCGCCTAATCCAGTTGTGAAGCCACACGAGATGAAGCTAACATGTGCCAATGGCATATTTGGATGATCAATCTTGACAACATAGTTGACATTAGCAACTGTGTACTCTGACCATGTGGAGCAGCTAAATAGGTGGTACAACTTTTGGCCTCCGAGAGACATTCTTGTAGTGTTGTCAGGCATTAGACCATGCATAGGCATAGGATATGTTGTGCACACATTGGTCTGTCCCGACTTGCAATTCTCACATTGCTTGCATTCTCCGAGAAATGTGGGGATGACGAGGTCTCCTTCTTTGAATTCTGTGACTCCCGCGCCCACGCTTTCCACGACCCCAACACCCTCATGCCCTAGAGCTCGTGGGAACACCGGGAATGGGAGCCCATTGGCGCATAGGATGTCGGAGTGACAGAGGCTGGCGTAAAGCATCTTTATCCGAAATTCTGATGCTTTTGGTGGCTCTATTCCTACCTCTTCCAACCTTACTGGCTCCCCTTTTGCCCTGCACACTGCGGCTTTGCATTTTATGACTCGTGAGCTGCTCGTTGACATTGTTCTGGATTGGTAATTCCTGTTCAAGAACTTGTCAATGGACTGATCTTGGGTTGATTGTGATGTTCCTGCAGCAGAGAAGTTTTGAGAACCAAGGCAGATGTGCATCCGGACATACCATTCCTCCTCGAGCCAAAGCTCGTTCCCTGCATGTGTCGGAATAATCTCTTGGATACACCATAGTGGATTCGGCTCTGACTTTGCACAAACAGGGAAAGAAAGCTCGTAGGATACATGATTTGATGTTGGATGATAAACTCACAATCAGATTTATTTTTAAATTTTTTAAAATTTTAGTAATGGGATATTCATGCATGATGCACCACAATATATAAGCTTGGTATGCGTATTTTGGGATTGTTATAATTATAGCCAATCTGTCAAAAAAAGGTTGAAACCTAAAAAATTACAAGCTTTTTTTAGGAAAGACAACAGGCACTGTCAAGTTAAATTAGCCAGTCTTGTAAAGAATGAACTTATCTGGATTGAAATGTTGGTTATCCCCAATTCAATGGCATCATTAGATAGGTACAAATTAAAATGGTATATGTTGATTAAATATAATTAACTTGTACCATCAAAATATTAATTAGTGTGGTCTGGTATTGCCAATTTTTAATATACGGTTGCTAATTTAGGTAGTTAACTACCACAATAGATCAGGGGAAGGATTTGACTTTGTTTCCTAATTTAAACAAAGATTTTACATGTTTGACCAATGTTGGCCTGGTAAACATTACTTTTGATTTTTCTTTTTGATGTAGGAGAATAAATATATACATATATATATATATATATATATATATATATATATATATATATATATATATATTTGTGTAAGGTAATGAATTTGTATTGATAAACAGAACTGTACATAGCTCCAAACAAACTCACAAGGCTCAGAAGCTACACTACAGCACCCAGAAGACAAAATAAACAGCAGAATCATTACATTAACAATCTGGGAACCATCTGATATCGAAAGAAAAAATCCTAAAAGAGGCACTAACTGAAGCTGAACAGTGTAAGAACGGAACAACACCAAAATAACCAACTTCTCTACCATCGATAGGACTTTTGGAATCAGTTCTTCGAAGGACGATAGATTATGATATATCTGAACCCTTCTCTGTAAAATGAACATAAGATTAGGACAGAATTGAATTTTCCAAACGTTGGATAGACATAAGATCAATGTTGTCAGCCTCGTGTCCTTGAACTGCAATGTTGGTAAAACTGCAGTATCATCAGTTCTCTTGGTACACTAAAAGGATGCAGAAGGTTTCAAGCAATTTTCGTAGGCAAAACAGTTATTTTAAGGGAAGTGATTTAGTCCCTGCCTCGGGTTTTTCATTTTTTCATATTTAGTCAAGCAATTCTCTTTCACAATTTTTCATTTTTTTTTTTCCCAACAAATAAGAGAATGACAGTTCATTTTTCATTACGTTGGATTAAATTTTTTTTCTATAATGTTACATGGTAAGGAAAATGTAAGAATTTCACAAATACAAGAGTGCAAACTAAGATGTCTCACCTTTGAGGTTAAGCAATATGAATTTGAGGAAGAAAACTGCAAACTAATTCAATGATGTGCTGATCAAGCTACCCCAGAACACAGGCCGAAACTTAAAATTCGACATTTCTTGAGAAGTTAAAAATGAAATATAAGATAATGGTAAACGACAGTTTCAATAGTATCGTCTCCTTTCTAAAAGAATAGATAAGAAGAAGAAAAGAAAGAAACAAATACAAGAGCACATTATTACTAACTTGTAGTTGCAATTCATAGAATGGAATGTGCAATCTTTGTCTGTTTCTAGCAAATGATTCATCCACCCAGTCTTGTGTAATTGTCCCACACAAAATAAATACAGTAAATCAATTGAACCTCAAAAAAAATAAAAAATAAAAATAAAAAAACAGAAGAGAGAGAGAGCGAAAATGAACAAGAAGAGAGAAGAATAAGATGGAGTTTTACGGTGATAAATGAATTCATAACATAAATAATGGATTTAGCTCAAATGTCAACATATGGGTGATTTAATTCTGAGTTGTTGCAATAGGACACTATTCATCAAATGTGTTTCATCATACAATTATTAAATGTGCAAAATATTTCAGTGTTTCAGTATTTATTTATTAATATAAAAAAAGAGTTTTTATAAACAAAATATTACCCAAATATTATTTAAAGAGTTTAATTCAAATTACAAATTACCTAATAAAATTTATAAAAATTAATTTAAAGAGTTTAATTTAATTTACAAATTACCTAATAAATTTCATTTTTCTTGTTCCACATTAGTTTTAAGTAAAATAGATTAAATGGAAACCTCTTATAAAACTATAAACCTTGAAATAATAATCATATTTTTCTTGGCCTTTTTGCTAAGATCAAGTGTAGTACTAAATTTTTTTGGGTCAGTCTTTTGGCGTTTTTTTTTTTTTTGTAAAACTATAAACAATTAAAAAATATATAAAAATATAAATTATATAAGTTAAAAAACATTCATCACGCACGTGCCTTCTACTAGTGTATATATATATATATATATATAGTTATTTCACCACTTTGTTATAATTAAGGTGTCTTTCTTATTTTTTTGAAACATTAAAACTTACCATTTTATATTTATTCTTTCTTTTCTATTATACTTGTACATATACACATATATAACCTTCATTCTTTCCTTTCTTACATACCTTCTTATTATTATTATTATTATTTAATTATATATATAGCTCACTGTGATTGGTTTCATTCTTTCCTTTCTTACATACCTTCTGATTATTATTATTATTATCATTTAATTATATATTTAATTACATACCTTATTATTATTAACCTTCATTCTTTCCTTTCTTACATACCTTATTATTATTATTATTTAATTATATATTTAATTACATACCTTATTATTATTATTATTTAATTATTATTATTATTATTATTTAATTATTATTATATAAGACAAATGAAAAGAAAAAAAAATGTAAAGAAATGACCATGTGCACTCTCCCAATAATTTAAAAGCTAAAAAAAACAAAAGAAAAGATTGGTTAGTGATTGGAAAAAGCAGAGCAAAGCACTAAGTAGGGTCAGAATTATTGAGAGATTTATTCAAAATTCGTCAATAATAGACCACTAGGTAATGCATGACAAAATAATACAAAATTCATTACCTAACTGGTAAAGGTTATAAAAGTTTCAATTGGAGTAGTTGTGAGTCTTGGTAAACCAAAAGTTGAAAAAGCAGCCTTCGGTGCTCCAATTTTAAAATTCGGTTACTTTCACTATTCCTTCTCCCAAAAAAAAAAAAAAAAAAAAAAAAAAAAACAACACTTATTCCTACTTATTGTGTCTCTTACTTCTCCTTTTCCAAACACTGTGAATCCCGTTGTATTATGTATGGCATTACATCCCGGCAGAGTAGTTGTGGAGGGAAAAAACTCCCTCCAATAAAAAGCGCACACGTCACCACTACCCATATCTACATTCCAATGACATATAAGGCCCATCATGCTCAAGCCCAAATTGAGGGTATTCACAGCCCAAGACCATTGTTATTTGTCCTCCAACTTCCATCAAGGCCGAATCAAGAAGTCATCAGCCTGGCTTATGAATATTTAACATTCGGCCTGTTACTCAAGCCCAGCCAGATCAAAATATATTCAGCCCAGTTATTCAAGAATGCACAAGTCCTACCAATTGAAGATTTACTGTAGAAGGAAAACTCTGAGATAGGAAGTTCTGTACAAGGCAAGTTCTATGTATGGAAAATTCGACAATGGAAAGAACTCTATTAGAAAAGAATGTTTATATAGAAAGAATTGGAGGGCAAGCAAAGCGAGTCCTACCATAATTTTGCAATCTTTTGTATATAAATAGAGGCTAAGACCTCCAATAAAATGATGAAGCAATTCTACGCTTCCCGATATACTGTTCTTGTTTATTTTCATTATTTGTTGAGTGAGTTGTTTTATTTTTCTCAATCATTATTGGTTAAGCGAAATTCTGCACCTACACTTTGGCGCCGTCTGTGGGAAACGTATAGAAATATACTCCCACTTGTTCTTCAAATCAAATCCTTAGTCGTGTCTGGAATGTCAAACGGAGAGTCAGCAATGAATCAACAGATAGAATTGACGCAAAAGATGCGAGAAGAGTTTTTGCACCAATTTGAGACACTCCGGCAAGCAAACGATACGAGTGTTGCCCAGATAGCTGCGCTTCAGCAGCAGACTCATACGTTGCACACGGCCATGGCCAGGCTAACGCCACAACCACCACCAGGCAATGCTGCAACACCACCCCCCACCCGGAATTTACCTCCGGTTCACGAGCCTCCAGCCAACGAGACACCACCCAACGGGGCTCGACTTAATGAGGTTCAGCAAAAGCAAGGGACAAGGTCCGAGGCGGTTGCTTCGGATAATCTCCCGCATTGCACACAGGACGAACAGGCCGAGTCCAGCCATAGGCTTACGGTATGGTCCAATGGCGTTCCAGATGGCGCACGCGTACAAGATGCCTTCGACGAAAAGAAGCTCTTAAGAGTTCAGACACCAGCCGAGATGGCTAGAGAGCACAAAAACTCCTTGGTCAAGACCCCATTTACTGACGAGGTGTACCTTGTGGAGAGACCAAAGAAGTTCACTATGCCATCCTTCACCCAGTTCGATGGGCCAGGAGACCCCTCTCGGCATCTCGATCATTATGCGCAAAAGATGGCACTGGATGATCATAACGATCCGTGGATGTGTAAGGTTTTTCCTACCAGTTTAACCGGAGCAGCGTTAGAATGGTTCAAGAATAGGCCACACAAGTCTATCCCTGATTATGAGACCTTGTGCACTATGTTCTTAGCCCAGTATTGCGAAAATAAGAAGCAGAAGAAAAGTATCGCCAGCCTTTTCACCATAAGGCAAAGGAAGGGAGAAACTCTGCAAGATTTTTTATCCAGGTTTAACATGGAGGCCTCGGAGATAGCAGATTGCCA